AAAAAAAAAAAAAAAGCTGGGGAGAGGGCAGCAAGATGAGCCAGGCAGTTTCGCCCAGAGTGGATGGCATCTTTTTGTGTCTGGCACCCAGCCCATGGGCACCAGAGGATGAAGGAGCTCTCTGAGAAGCATCCACCTGGAGCTGGCTCCAGGGGAAGCCACAAGGGCTTGGTCCTCTCTTTCCAGCCTCACCCCCTCTCCTGCCTTACTCAGCCCCTAGGCTGCTTCCCTGCTTGGCCCCAGCTGTTCCACCTCCTCCCACTTCCCCAGAGCAGGAGCCTTCAGTGGAGGAGGAGGTGGAAAACCCCCAGGAAGTCTCTGATCTTGGGCCTACAGAGCTCCCCACCTCCTGCTGGGGCCCATCTTTGGAGGTGTCTCCTTTCCCCTTTGAACCCTGGCCTTCTTGACAGGAAATAAAGGAAAGAAGAACCTCCCGCGGGCTCTGCCCCAGGTACTCCCAGCTCCAGGTTGGGGCCGAGAGGTTGGGAAACAGATCTTGGCCCGACCTGGATGACACTGAGTTGGTCAGTTCCTCAAAGCCAGTTTTCTGGGGCTAGGGAGATGGCTCAGTACAATAAGTGCTTCCCTGGCAATTCCAAGGGTCTGAGTTCAATCCTTGGATCCGCAAAGAGAAAAAGAAAGAAAGAAAGAAAGAAAGAAAGAAAGAAAGAAAGAAAGAAAGAAAGAGAAAGCAAGCCACTCTCCCACTCAGTCCTGCTGGGAAATAGGAGCGGGGCACCTTGGGTTTCCTGAGCAGCCACTGCTGCTTGTTTTTAGGATGGGTGGGACTCAGGAAGGGCCAAAGCCTCCAGTTTGCTCTGCTTCTTAGGGTAGGTCAGGGGACTTGCCTTCCCCTCTCCACTCTCCCAGAAAGAAGAGCAAACCACACAGTTCAGCAACTCTGAAATCCTAAATAAAGATCTTTCAATCCTGCCTACTTTGAGAGGCAAGGCACTGAGTCTGAAGCATTCGAGCCAGGTACAGCTTTCTTTACCTCCCAGCGCTCTTTGCTCAGGCCCTCAGAGGTCTGCCAGAACATGAAGTCCCCCCACATCCTACGCTTGACCCCAAGCTCCACCCTTCAGTTCAGCTCAACACCTAGCCCAGCTGGGAAAGGAGTCAGCAGGCTCCATGTCCACCTCTCATTCGCTCACACAGCAGAAACGGACTCCCAGCAATACTTTTCCCCAGGCTTGGTCAGCCCCAGGGAGAGAAGGTCATGGGATATGGGAACGACAGAAGGGATCTGTCACCACCCACTCTGGGACACAGGTTCACCATGCACTGAGCCTAGACACAACCAAGACCCACAGAGGGGGAGCGGGGGACACCTCCCACACATACTGACACACCTGGCACACGTGCACAGGGAGCTTCAGTGCCCAAGACAAGCCTCTTCTGGGAACTGTCCCATGCCTTCTCCTAACACACACAGGGACAAGCTAATATTCTGACACACATGCTGCCCAGGCCCTAATCAATAGACACCGCACCTGCCCCACGTGGGCCTCTTGCCCCCCCCAAGACCCCTACACAAATGCCCACTTTGGCTCCATTTCATACAGGTGCGGGACACCGGCTGCACAGCATGTGGATACACGCAGTGTCTGCACTCCCAGGTCCACACCCCAGCTGAGTAAAGTGAACACCCATCTCAGCAAGCTCATGGGACAGCAGCAGCATAGCACGCCCAAGCAACTGCCCGCTCCACGGATCTGGGGCTCCGGGAGCCGCCCCACCCTCACCCTTTCTCAAGGTTCCTTACCCAGACGGCCCTCCTTTAGTCCCCCAGACACCTATCAAGACGCCGCCCTCTCCTGGCCGCTGGGGAATAAGCCCCTCGCGGCAACGTGCTCCTCTCTTCCCCACTTCCCGCGCTCGGGAACACCTGTCAGAGCGCCCTCCCTCTGAGTCTCACCTGGGTGCATGGGTTCCAGATTCACCATCCTGCCCCAGGCGGGGCCAAAGCCAGCGCCCCCCCAGGCCCCCAGCATCTGCCCCAGCCGGGCCCCCTGGGAAGCCAGGGTCTCCTCCGTCCCGCTCCCGGCCGCAGCCGGAGCCGTCGCCGCCGCCGTCGTGCGCTGTGCTGCTCCAGCCCGGGTGTCCCTCGGCGCGGCCGGGATTGCCACACTCCCCAGGTGAGCACGCGGCGGGGCGGGGGCCGCCGGCCACGCCCCCTGGCCCCGGGCCCAGGCAAAACAACGATTTGCATATGGCGAGGTGGGGGCCGGGAAGGAGATCGGCGCTGCCGGGGCGGACCGACCAACACCTGTCTGCAGGCTGCCCGACCCCGCCTGGCCGCCCCTCCCCGCCGCACCCGCTGCGGCCCGGGCTCCTCGTCTAGCTCGCCCCCGGGCCCGAGCCTCCGTCTCGACTGGCTCCCGAAGAAAGCGCTACAAGGAACCTGGAGTGTTTGGAGAAGCCGCGGGGGTGTGCTGGAAAGAATCTGGTCTTGGAATCCTACCTCTCAAGGACTTACAAGCTTTGTGGTAGGGGACAAGATTCTTCACCTCCCTGAACCCATTTTACTAATCTGTAAAACGGGCCAAGTGCTAATCAAAACTGGCATCGATCTGGGGTAAGCAGGCGGCCAAGATCACCTGGCCTCCTCCAAAGTAGACAGCCCCAGCTAAGGCTCAGGTTTTCTGAGTAAGGACGCCGCCCACCTCCAGGTCGCGCGTTGCCCCGAGGCGCTGGGAGAGTGGGAGGAGCAGATCCTTTGCCTGGGGGGTGTGCGGTGACAGCCACCTTCCAGAGCTTGGGAGTGACATGTCCAGAGGCGCAGGATTCCCCAGTGACAAAGCCTAGCTGGAAATCAGGTCTTTGGCTCCCATTCCAGCGCTCTTTGCAGACTCCTCACCTCAGACTCCACTCATCCCTGTTTCTTCCGCTTTTCAGGGGCCAGTAAGTGATTCTTTTTTTTTTTGTTTTGTTTTGTGTTTTTTTTTTTTTTTTTTTTTTTTGCGGAACCGGGGATTGAACTCAGGCCCTTGCGCTTGCCAGGGAAGCGCATATTCCACTGAGCCATCTCCCCGGCCCAAAATTTCTTTTTTTCTTTTTCTTTTTTGGTGGAACCAGGGATTGAACTCAGGCCCTTGTGCTTTCCAGGGAAGCACTTATTCCACTGAGCCATCTCCCTGGCGCCAGTAAGTGATTCTTAGCCAAGGGACTGCCTGCCCAGAAGCTCAGCTGGACACATGCGGACACAGAGGAGACGAGCCCACGGCCTGCTTTTCCTGACAGGCCTCCCGTCAGCCTACCAGGACCTCAGTCCTTGCACCCATCTCTTTCTAGCTCTCCAGCAGGCCCCCGGCCTTTCTGCCTCTTGGCCTGGCTTACAGTGTTGTTGGTTCCATTTCCTCCCCGGTACTCCCGACTGTAATACCCAGCATTTATCGCACTCTCACTGTGTACCAGGGAGAGAGAGGGCTAACCCACACTTTAAAGACATCTTTAACACCTTTCGATCTCATGTAGTGGACACAACAATCTATAAATTGTACCATTATTATTTCTATTTTTCCATATGGGAGTTTGACTTGTCATCTTACACAGCCAGTAAGTGTCAGGGCTTTTTTTATTTTATATTATTATTATTATTGCTTTTTGGTGGTCCCACAGTTGGAATCCAGGGCCTTTGTATTGAGCTACATCCCAACCCCTTATTTATTTTTTAATTTGAGGAAGGGTCTTGCTAAGGCACTAAGTTGCCAGCCTGGACTCAAATTCGGGATCCTCCTGTCTCAGCCTCCCAGAATGCTGCGATTGCAAGCATGCACTACCATCCTGGCCTGGCTTGAAACACTTGATCTAAAGCACTGACAGGATTTCTACTCCCTCTGCATAATGCACATGCCCCTCTTTCAAGATGGAAGAGGCTTAGGGGCTGGGGAGATAGCTCAGGAGAATAAGTGCTTCCCTGGCAAGCACAAGGGCCTGAGTTCAATCCCGGGTTCCGCAAAAAAAAAAGATGGAAGTGATCTGATTTTGCACTGAATTGCTGTGGCACTTCACTGCTCCTCATAGCCTTTGTAGCAGGTTGTGACCAGCTATTTTTATCCCCCCCCCCAGCCTGCAGCAGCTCTGAGCCCACCCAGGGCCTCACAAGGGATTTAGTGGGTGCCTAAGGAGGCTTAGAGTGGAAGTGGCCAGGGAAACTTCAGGGCCACACAAACCCTACTTCCCCAGCCACACTCAGCTCCCTTTGTCAGGCAAAAAGGTGGGGAGGGGCTTTTCTTTTGCTTCTTCTGTTCCATGATGGATCTACAAATGCTTCTGGGATGTTCAAATGACCCTAAGAGCCCCTCTCAAGGCATTCTCAGCCTCTGTCCTTTCCTTCCCTCCTCCATTTCAAATTTGGTCCCTTCCTTGACTTTTAAAAAAAATCTACAACTATACTTGCCTGCCATTATCCAAGAAAAATGTTTGCACAAAGTTTATATACTCCTGAGTGCATGTGATTTCTATATCTATTTACATATCATTTGCATGGTCATGCGCACACAGGGTCTGGTTCTCCGATCACCAGATCCTGGATCTGATACACGCTGTTACACACAGTCACATTTTTCTCCCTTTTTTTTTTTTTTTTGGTGGAACTGGGGATTGAACTCAGGCCCTTGCACTTGCTAGGGAAGCGCTTATTCTACTGAGCCATCTCTCTGGCCCCTCCCTCTGCATTTTAGATGTCTCTGCCTCCCTCATACTGGGGATATAACCTAAGGGTGGTCTACATCTCCAATCCTATTTAGTTGTGATTTTTTTTAAGAGCCAGGGAGATAGCTAAGTGGTATAAGCACCTGCCTGGCAAACTCAAGGTCTTGAGTTCAATCCCCAGTACCAAATAGACAAAAAAATGTAACTGTTAAATATATTTTTTTTAACATTTATTTAGTGTGTGTGTGTG